GGCCATTGGTCAGTAGGATGTCAGAGCAGTCAATGGAAACGGTAGGCACTGACATAGCACATCTTCTACTGCCTCAAGAGCAGGAGAAGGTATAGGTAAAATATTTTTGGCATCTGTCTACAGTCATTTAAACTAGAGTTCCTCTTTAAGGAAATATTCACTTGCACTAACATAGAACCTGTTCATCTTAAAACACAAAAGAATGGAGATAAAAGCCAGAAATTCTGAACAAACGCTGATATGTGTACCTGATAAACTTTGATATATACATCAAAAGTGCAAACAAGAAGACAATTACTAAATTAAAATTGAATTGAAATAAATTGTTAGGAGATGACACAACTTTGGTAGACAATTAGACACAAATTACAAGCATTTTGCCATTGAGGATACAAAATATTTTAATATGCTCAATTACCTAATTACAGCCTAGAATGTTTTCCGCCAGTGATTCATGTAGCAATTACTGCATGAGCGCTTTATACAAATAGATACAAAGATGGATAACCTTGCAGTAGAAAGGAAAAAAAGACCGGATGTCATGGAAGAGACAGGGTTACTTGTTCCAGCTGAACACTTCACAAAACAGAACTCACTAACTTCTTTGCAAGACCCTTACCCTTGTTTATTCCATTATCAAGTGCCCAACTACAGCTGAGGACATGCACCAGTTAACGCCCAACTCTGGGTGTTGAAAATTCTCCCTTGTAATGGTGCTGCACTTGCACTTCGAGAGTTAAGTGCTTGTTTAGCCTAGATGAAAAAAATGCTTTTACTGATCAGATTTTCCACTTCCCCAGCAGGTGGCGCACCCCCACACTCTTACGGTGGACTGCTCCTTGGTCCTGTATTGTACACTGCATTGGTCTTGATGACATCAGGACCTTAGACCACTGGAGCATGGGGAAGAATATTCTGCAGGGAATGGTCTAGCAGTGCAGATGAGCAGGTTAGTAAATCAACTTTTAAAAGTTCCCTTGATATTAATGAGCATATATTTCCTGCAGTGTGGGTGCAGCAACACTGCAAGGAATGGTTTACAAATTGGGCCCATTTAGATTTGTGTGGTGTGCTAATGCAATTGTGTTAAAGTGGTTGTAAACCATTACATCAAATACCCAGTGAAGTTACTTGCCTCAAGCAATATACAGAGATTAAACAAATCCTCCTATGTAAGCTGTACCTGTTTATCTGCAGCCCTTTCTCCCCTACAGCTATTCAAAGTCCAGACTTTATATGGCTTTTCTGAGCTCCAGAAGGCAGTGAATCGGGATCTGATGTCACACACTGCACAGCATAGAACAGGAAGCTGAGTGTAATCTGAGATCTGAGAGAAGGAAAAAGGCACACACCACTACACAGTCTCCTAGTGCAACATGCACAGTTGAAGCTGTCAATCACCTACTGTGTGCTGAAGTGGGGGGCATATTCCAGATATTCCAGGATTGCTTGGTGTTGGCATAACCCAGGCATCAGTAAATGGTGAACCGGGGTCCAGATGCAGACCGAGTCATTGTCCCATCCGTGCAGTTCTGCCATTTCTTGGGGTCATCCTCACAGAGCTGACAGCAGGAGGCAGAACAGTTCTGGATGGAGGGTGGAAGCTATCCAAGGTTAAGAAGCAGGTGATTGGTTGCTAGGATGAAGGGCAGTCCTAGAAATCAATCACTGTCTGTATCAGGTAGGACAGTGGGGGGAGGGCTGAGGACATTAAAGTGGGAGGGGCTGAGAACTGTAATGTGGTGGCTGAGGACAGTAACTTGGAGGGGGGCTGGGAACAGTAATGGGGGGGGGGGGGTTGAGGACAGTAATGTTGAGGCTGAGGACAATAACATGGGGGGGCCTGGGGACAGTAATGTGGGGGCTGAGGACAATAACATGGGGGGGTCTGGGGACAGTAATGTGGTGGGGGGGTGATGTAAAAAGGGGCATAGTACTCTTCAGTGAAGAGGGCAGAAGACAGTACTGTTGGGGGGGGGGGGAGTTGCTGTCAAGGAAGTGTGAGAACACTACTGTGAAAGGGGTGGAGGGGGGTGATGTAAAGGGGGAGCTGAAGACACTCATCAAGTGGGATCTTGCTGTGAATGAGGAGGGGACTGTGATGTGCAATGGGGATTGAGGACACTGTTGTGAGAACAGGTTCAGATCTGTACATGTGCATTTGATGCACACGTTGTGGGTAGGTCAGCACTACCTGCTAGAAACCTGACCCCGACCCTTTTTTTTCAAAATCGCACTGCAGCAACATGTAGTTTGGCTCACAAAAATGCACCACAGGGGCCTACATGAGATTCGGACCAATGATGCATGCAAATTGTACTGCCTGGACCTTGGTGAATTTTAATTCAATACCCCTGACATAAACTGTCAGAAGTGACTCATGCACACAGCAGAGGAATGAGGGAGGAGACAGAAATCACACTAGGTGCTTTGGATTGAGTACACACACTAGAAGCGCATGCTTTGTTCATTTTTCATTTCAGGGCTATTGAAATTATTGGGCTTCCAAAGTACCAAACCATCCAAAAAACTGAACATGTGACAAAACGTTTGCTGCAGTGCAACAAAATGCATTTTGGTGCATTGCCAAGCATAGTAGAATGTTGGAACCTGTTTAAATCTATGCATCTCCATAAGAACTAGGATGTCAGGTTACAGTTGTACAGCCATGGCATGTGACAGCCAGTCATTGATTTGTACAGACTGCTGTACGCCAACACCCCTGACTCTCGGGTGTGAGTTCTTACACTATAGAATTGTACATGAGCTTTAACCCTTCATTGTCTACTTTGGAGTCTGATGGGATGGTATGATGCAATGATCCTTATTTTAATCACATTGATAAACATCCTCACACCATACTATGTTATTTTCACTAACAATGGAATAGGAAGCACACAGCCCATACTCTCAGCATCCTCCCCGGTTCCTGTCTGATACACCGATTCTTACATTTACGCTTCACACCTTGAATGATACAATTCCTTCACCAAAAACTTGCTCTTTACAGAGCTATAACACATTAGTTTCTAAAATAGCAAGTTACCCATAAGCAATTTTACACCTTCTACCAATTCCCATTCTGCACATTCTAACTACAGTAGTGTGTATAGAGTCCCCGGAGTGTCTCTCAGCTTCTTCCAGGTCTAACTTAGAACAATGTGTAGGTTGTACCTTCAGGATTCATCCAAAAAAAAGAGTCTCTAGGAATTATTTTAATGCTAAACTGTCTAATGCCGAAAAATATTGTCTATATACAAAAATCAAGTGTATTCTTACCTAAATCTTTGCACGTACAGTATTTATAAAGAAGAATTAAATGAAACAATATAAAAATTGCATAGCTGTTTGTGCATCAAAATTCGTTCTGTGTGAATGGGGCAAAATCAAACATACTCCGGCTTTAAAGGATAAGTACGCCTTTTAGTAAAAAATAATAAATGCACATTTTTTTGCAGGTTAAAAAAATGAGCATTTATTATTTTTGTCTGCAGGAGCCTGTAAAGCATTTTACCAGCAATCAGCAGATCGCTGGTGTAAAATGAAAAAGGAACAGAGCAATCTCTGAAATAAAAAAGGAACCTTCTATAGTGCGTACTTGCCTCTATTTTTTATTTTTGTCTTCTCTCTCCTTCCTGTGCATAAGTTACTTCTGACAGTCTATGCACCGGACAATCCTGGGAGATGCCCCCTTCCCCCCTCCAGCATACAATAGGTGACTGGCATCCTCAGCTGTGCATGTATTCCTACAGAACTGTGTAGGGGGGGGGTATGTCCATTCCCTTCACTCAGGTCTCAGATTACACTTAACTCTTTGTTCTGTGCCGTGCAGTGTGTGATGTCAGCTCTCCACCCCCTGCCTTCTGAAGCTCAGAAATGCTGTATACATTCAGTACTTTGAACTGATGTAGAGAAAAGAAGACTGCAGATAAACAGGTATAACTTATGTAGGAGGATTTATTTCCCGAGGTTCGTTTTTTCACTGGGTATATGTATGGGTTTACAACCACTTTATTGTTAAGTAGAACAAAAAGTGATCCTCTTACCATGTCTGCATGCTTTATGTGTTGCAAGTCCATTACATGTCTGGCTGTTGATAATAAAGGTCACATGTACCTAATAAAGTGCTGACCTTTAGTACTTCCATGAGCATATCGCCTTTACACATATGATTCTTTTCTGCTCCCTTGGCTATCAGTTGGTCCAATAGTGCAATTAGCATCTTTTCTAGAAAGAAAAGATTTGTGAAACGTGTGTGTGTGTGCGTGTGCCTATCAAGTCCTTATGGTCCTGCTCACGTAATTATCTTCCAGAATAGAATACTAAAAGCATAAGAAATCACTACTAGCAGCTGACTAGAATAGATGTGACAAACGTCAAGATAAAACTACTTTTATACCACATACCTCACTAAATGTCAGGAAGATTTTACCATTTTATGAGTGTCACATAATACATTATGCTTATCTGAAAAGAGTAGATTTAATAGCTCCTGCCTGTCTCTACTTTGGCTGAAAACGGAGTAGAAGAACATAATGACGCTTATGACACATGGTAGTGTTGTCTATTAATTTATACATAAAGAAAGTCAGGTTCTACCAAAAGAAAAGCCTGAAGTTTTAATAAATGACGTATGTTGTTTGGGGAAATTTAGACCTTTAACTGCATCATAAAGCACCGCCCGGTGACATTGGATTAAAAGCAACTTCCATTGAAAGCTTGGAGAGCTCAATGCACCTGGCCACCATGAGACTCCTCTGCTGCATGATGTGGCTTTGTTGATGCACCTAGCTACTGACATGAAGATCATCGGCTTTGTTAACAAACAAAGACATAAGACTGCCATATCATCGCTGATGTGGCAACCACATGGATTTGTTATGCCAGAGCTGATGAGGCAATGACGTGCCTTTACTGCTAGAGCAAGACAAACTCATGTAACTGCCATTGACATGGCAACAACATGGACTTTTTTTTTTTGCTAAAGAAAGTCAGGAGCTGAAGTTGCTATCACATGGAGTTACTGATAAACAAATGGTTAGGTTAGGGTTTAGAGATGGAAGTGTATCTTAATCTACAATATATATTATGAGGCTTTCTCAACTCTTTTACTTCAAAGGAATAACTTTATATCATTTTCAGGTCTCAGGGAACCCCTGCTAAAACATTGGTGGTCAGTGAGAATAATGACCTTTACATTGGTGGTCATTGAGAAAAATGATCCTTACATTAGTGGTCAGTGAGAAGAATCATCCTTACATTGGTGATCAGTGGGAAGAATGTCTCTTATGTTGGTGGTCAGTGGGAAGAATGTCTCCTATGTTGGTGGTCAATTGAAAGAATGTTTCTTATGTTGGTGGTCAGTGGGAGGAATGTCTCCTATGTTGGTGCTCAGTGGAAATAATGTTTCTTATGTTGGTGGTCATTGGGAAGAATGTCTCCTATGTTGGTGGTTAGTGGGAAGAATGTCTCCTATGTTGGTGGTCAGTGGGAAGAATCTCACTTATGTTGGTGGTCAGTGGAAAGAATGCCCCTTAAGTTGGTGGTCAGTGGAAAGAATGCCCCTTAGACTGGTGGTCATTGGGAAGAATATTCCTTACATATATGGTCAGTAGGAAAAATGTCCCTTACTTTGGTAGTCAGTGGGAAGAATGCTCCTTACATTGGTAGTCAATGGGAGGAATGCTCTTGCATTGGTGATCATTTGGAAGAATGCCCCTTACATTGGTGGTCAGTGGGAAATAAGCCCCTCACATTGGTGGTTAGCCTGAAGAATGCCACTTACAATGGTGATCAGTGAGAACAATGCAACCCCCTAAAGTGGTGATCACAATGTAACCCTTATAGACAGATAAAACGATTATTGGTGTCATGGAGCTGTCTTGGCGTTGCATGTGGTGTTGTACAATGTAGTGTTGCACCCGAGACCCTTAGGGCACCATCAGATGGGAGGTCAAAAGGCCATAGCTCTAGGAACCCCTTGCATCTTATGGAGGCACCCCAGAGTTCCATGGTTGAGAATGGCTGTATCGGATCAAGCAGATGAGAGGGTGGAAATTTGTCAGTCTTCAGGTGACCTCTGATCTTCTGGCTCTCCAGTCAGCATATCAGCCCAAGGTAAAGTAAGTAAAGCAAAATACATCTTTCATAACTAAACCTGCATAATTGTAATAACTGAAGAATAAATATTCATATCCCAGAAAAGTGCCAACTTATTCTCCTTAAATTGGAATATATTGTAAAGTAGAAGACAGCTGAGCTTGTCCCATTTTCCTGCTGTAAGGTCCAATGCATACAATCTGAGAGATATTTAATTCATTGATGACACACTATATAAAAACAAATGATCTGTGACAAACCATCATTTCACATTGTAAACATTTTTAAAGATCACCCACTTCTCGTCTATTGTGTTGACAGGCTCACAAAAAGAGACACAGAAACAATTTTCATTGTCAAGTCACTCTACAGAACAGGGCCTTGACGCAATCATTTAGTAGCTGTAATCTCTATAACAACGAAGACTCAATTAACCTCCAAAATCCTAATACGCAATGTGCCGTTGCTAACCAGAACATGTACTGTATATCACACTTCACTATAAAAGACCATCAAAAGCATATTCTGACTCATAGAGAAACATAAAAACATTTGCATCAAATGGAACTAGCATTAAATAAATGATTTTCAAGGTAAGTGCATGAATACTAAGTAACGTGAAAGATTACATAGTTACATAGTCTGTTTGAAAAAAGCTACAAGTCCATCTAGTTGAACTAAAAAAAAGGAAAAAAAATACAATCTTATATACACAATCCTACACCCACAGTTGATCCAGAGGAAGGCAATAAAACCCCAATTAGACATGATGCAATTTGCTTCAGCAGGGGAACAACTTCCTTCCTGATCCCCCAAAAGGCAATTGGATATTCCCTAGGTCAACTTTACCAATAAGTGTTAGTATTCAGTTATATTATGTGCATTTAGGAAAAAATCCAGGCCTTAATTAAAGCAATCAAGCTATTCAGAACCAGTTCTATTCCACATTTTCACGGCTTTTACTGTGAAGAAACCTTTCTGTACTTTGGAGATTAAATCTCTTTTCCTCCAGACATGAGATTGTCCTCAAGAGTGCTCCCTTCTCCTCTGTGATGACCTTAAAGTGAAACTCCACACCAAGTTCACTATATAAACCACTGATGTATTTATACATGGTGATCATATCCCCCCTTATGTATTATACATGGTGATCATATCCCCCCTTATGTATTATACATGGAGATCATATCCCCCCTTATGTATTATACATGAAGATCATATCCCCCCTTATGTATTATACATGGAGATCATATCCCCCTTATGTATTATACATGGAGATCATATCCCCCCTTATGTATTATACATGAAGATCATATCCCCCTTATGTATTATACATGGAGATCATATCCCCCCTTATGTATTATACATGGAGATCATATCCCCCCTTATGTATTATACATGGAGATCATATCCCCCCCTTATGTATTATACATGGTGATCATATCCCCCTTATGTATTATACATGGAGATCATATCCCCCCTTATGTATTATACATGGAGATCATATCCCCCTTATGTATTATACATGGTGATCATATCCCCCCTTATGTATTATACATGGAGATCATATCCCCCCTTATGTATTATACATGAAGATCATATCCCCCCTTATGTATTATACATGGAGATCATATCCCCCCTTATGTATTATACATGGAGATCATATCCCCCCTTATGTATTATACATGGAGATCATATCCCCCCTTATGTATTATACATGGAGATCATATCCCCCCTTATGTATTATACATGGAGATCATATCCCCCTTATGTATTATACATGGAGATCATATCCCCCCTTATGTATTATACACATGGAGATCATATCACCCCTTATGTATTATACATGGAGATCATATCCCCCCTTATGTATTATACATGGAGATCATATCCCCCCTTATGTATTATACATGGAGATCATATCCCCCCTTATGTATTATACATGGAGATCATATCCCCCCCTTATGTATTATACATGAAGATCATATCCCCCCTTATGTATTATACATGAAGATCATATCCCCCCTTATGTATTATACATGAAGATCATATCCCCCCTTATGTATTATACATGGTGATCATATCCCCCCTTATGTATTATACTTAAGTATTATACATGGAGATCATATCCCCCCTTATGTATTATACATGGAGATCATATCAAAACCCATCTCTTCAGGGAAGCCTACCCCACCCTCACCTAACGGCCATTCTCCCTCATTCCTCCCACCACTTCATTCCCCTCAGCCACTTCCTACTGTACCATTACCCCCTCCCTCCTAGATTGTAAGCTCGAAAGAGTAGGGCCCTCTTACCCCTCGTACGTTGTTTGTTATTGTTGTACTGTGCCATGTATTGTCCCCCCTCTATTGTACAGCGCTGAGCAAACCCTTTGGCGCTATATAAACTCGATGTAATAATAATAATAATATTAGAACATTATGGTTGCTTTACCTAGCAAAGTGATCCCCTCCAGTGCTGCAAAGTCCTTGCTCCCCTCTTCTTCTGGATTTCAAATCTTCAGCTGTTTGTTTGGCTGGTCCCAGATGATGTAACTCAAAAGTTGCACAAAGGGCACAAAAGTTGCTTTTTCTTGGTACAGAATCATGGCAAAACTGTGCATGGAGCTGAGCATAGGAGTTAAGAGGAACTTAATTCCCCCCTCCCCCTTTACGTGCATTGCTGGGTTATCTTAAAAAAAAACACACCCGCAGAACAAATTCACTGCCAGCGTGATGCTTTGGACACACTTCTGCTGGGAAACCTTGGGTCCTGCCATTTATAGGGACCTAAAATATTGTGGTTGACCAAGTACACCACCAAGTATTCTCTGATAAGCCTCTTTCAGCAGGATAATGCACCTTGCCATACTGCAAAAATGGTTCAATAATGGTTCAAGGAACACAACCATGAGTTTGAGGTATTGACTTTGCCTCCAAAATTTCCAGATCTCATTCCAATCGAGCATCAGTGGGATGTGGAAAAATAAGTCCAATCCATGGAGGCCCAACCTCACAATTTACAGGACTTAGAGTGGATGTAAAGGATTAAGAATTTTTACCTTTGTGCATTCTATACATGAAGGTAAGAAAACCATCCAGGTGCAGCAGCCCCCCAGCCCTGTTAATACTTTCCTGAGCCCCATCTCGATCCAGTGATTTGCATGAGAGCCTCGGCTGTCCCGGGTATCTCCCTCGTCATTGGCTGAGATATCAGCGGCAGCCATTGGCAAACTATCAATCACAGCCAGTGAGCCAAAGAGGAGAGTGAGGGGTTGGTGCCAAGATGTGTGTGAATAGACAGCAGCCCGAGAGCGAGCCTGCTTGGGTGCCCCCATAGCAAACTGCTTGCTCTGGGGGCACTTGGCAAGAGGGAGAAGCCAGGAGAGCCGTCCAGAGAACCAAGAAGAGGAGGATCAGGGCTGCTCTATGCAAAACCACTACACAGAGCAGGTAAGTATAGACATATTTGTTATTTAAAAAAATGCCTTTAACCACTTGCCCTCCAGAGGATTTACCCCCCTTAATGACCAGGCCTCTTTTTGCTACTCGGCGCTGCACTAATTCAACTGATAATTGCGCGGTCATGCAATGCTGCAGCCAAATGAAATTTACGTCCTTTTTTCACACAAAATAGAGCTTTCTTTCGGTGGTATTTGATCACCTGTGCGCTTTTTATTTTTCACGCTATAAACAAAAAAAGACCAAACATTTTGAAGAAAAACAATATTTTTTACTTTCAGCTATAAAAAATATATAGTAAACTCAAAGTTAGTTATAAATTTAGACCAAAATGAATTCTGCTCCATGTTTTTGGTAAAAAAAATCCCAATGAGTGTATATTGATTGCTTTGTGTAGAAGTTATAGCGTCTACAAACTATGGTATAAATACTGCAATTTACGCCATTTTTTTGCTATACAGCGCTGCGCTAGTTTAACAGACAATTGCGCGGTCATGCAATATGGTACATAAATGAAATTTACATCCTTTTTTTTCCCACAAATTGAGCTTTCTTTCGGTGGTATTTGATCGCCTGTGCGTTTTTAATTTTTTGCGCTATAAAAAAAAAAGTCTGACAATTTTGAGGAAAAAAACTATATTTTGGACTTATTGCTATAAAACATGTCCAGTAAAAAAAAATTTAAAAATCAAATTTAGTCATAAATTTCTGCCAAAATGTATTCTGCGACATGTCTTTGCTACAAAACCCAATACGTGTAAATTAATTGCTTTACGTGAAAGTTATAGCGTTTACAAATGGCGGGAAAGATACTGGGATTTTAAAATTTTTTTTTATACTAATAATGGCGGCGATCAGCGACTTATGGCGGCAATCAATGACTTATGGCGGCGATCAGCGACTTATGGCGGGACTGCGGGGGA